TTGCCGATTGTAGATGATCTTATAGATAAACTGGCAAATGCTAAAGTGTATTCTGCATTGGATTTAAAAAATGGATACTTTCATCTGAATATAAGTGAAGAATCAAGAAAATACACTGCTTTTGTAACTCAGACAGGGCAGTATGAATTTTTAAAAGCACCATTTGGGTTAGCTACATGTCCTAAAGTATTTATGAGATTTATAACTCCAATTTTCATAAATTTTATTGCAAGAGGTATTATTATTATTTTTATGGATGATTTACTTATTCCAGCTATAAATGAAGAGCAAGCAGTTGAACGATTAAAATTAGTTTTACACAGAGCATCAGAGTATGGTTTAAATATCAACTGGAAAAAATTACAATTACTTGTGAAGACAGTTGAGTATCTTGGGCATATTATACAGGATGGTACAGTTATGCCATCACCGGATAAAACAAAGTCAGTACTAAATTTTCCACAACCAAAGAATATCAAGCAACTTCATAGTTTTTTGGGACTCTGCTCGTATTTCAGAAAATTTATTCAGAATTATGCTCAGATTGCGCAACCTCTTACAGATCTATTAAGAAAAGATAAAACACTTCATTTTGATGATGAACAGAGAACAGTATTTAATATGTTAAAATAATGTTTAGCAACTGCACCAGTTTTAAAAATTTATGATCCTAAAGCAGAAACCGAATTACATACAGACGCATCAAGTGTGGCATACTCTGCTATATTAATGCAAAATGTAAAGAAGATGGAGAGCTACATCCAATTCATTACATGAGTCGTAGAACTAGTGATGTACAAAGTAAATATACAAGCTATGAATTAGAAGTTCTAGCCATTATTGAAGGTATCAAAAAATTTAGACACTATTTACATGGTATTTCATTCAAGATTATCACGGATTGCAAAGCATTTATGTTGACTTTAAATAAGAAAGATTTAGCAATGTCTACAAGAGTAGCAAGATGGATTCTGCTATTACAAGATTACAATTTTACTGTAGAACACCGTAGCGGTACAAAAATGCAACATGTTGACGCTTTAAGCAGGAACCCATGTGTATCAGTGATAACTACAGACATGCATAAACAACTTCAACAAGCACAGGAAAATGATGATGGTCTAAAAGCTATAATAAAAATACTGAAAGAAGGACACTCATGTCAAAATTATTATTTGTATCGGGATTTATTATGCAAAGGAGAAGAACAGTCTCTCGTTGTACCTAAAAAAATGGAGGATTATATTATTAGAAAAGCACATGAAAATGGACATTTTGGAAAGAAAAAGACTATGGAATTAATTAGCAAACAATATTACATTGCAAACCTGGAAAAGAAAGTAGCTGATGTATTAGGATCATGTGTACCACGCATTTTAGGAAGCAGGAAGGAAGGAAAAAAGGAGGGATTTTTACACACTATAGATAAAGAAGACGGACCTTTATATACATTACATATAGATCATATTGGACCCTTGGCAGAAACCAAAAAGAAGTATAACTACATACTTACCATTGTAGATGGATTTACAAAATTTGTGTGGATATTTCCGGTAAAATCAGTAACAGCTAAAGAAACCTTAGAGAAAATAGAGATTTTACAGCAAACTTTTGGCAATCCAGCTAGATTTATAAGTGATAGAGGAACAGCTTTTACCTCCAGAGAATTTGAAGAATACTGTAGCAGTGAAGGAATTCAGCACATTAAGATAACTACAGGTGTTCCGAGAGGAAATGGTCAAGTTGAACGCATACATCGTACAATTATATCAGTACTTACAAAGTTAAATATAGAAGAACCTACACATTGGTATAAACATACAAGTAAACTGCAGAGATCATTAAATAGTACTTACCAAAGAAGCATCAAGACTACTCCCTTTGAACTACTTACCGGTGTGAAGATGAGGCAGAAGGATGATATTGAACTCTTACGGATGTTGGAGGAGGAATATGTTTCTACTTTTATGACACAAAGAGAGGAAGCAAGAAATAGAGCTAAAGAACAAATTTTAGCTCATTTAATAAGCTATATAAAAGTCCGCGATAGCATATATCT